GTTACTGGAGGCCACACCTTGGGCTTATCTGTACCTGCTGGTTTCTCTTTGTGGGGTTTGACTGTAGAGCAGCTGTTACATAATGATCCATGAAAAGTCTGATTTGTGTGCAGTGCTCCTCCTGATGCTTTTGGCCTGAATAAGGTAAAAAAGTGAAACAGGAAACACACTAACCTTTGTTGTTATTGCTGACCTTTGACCCTGTGCCCAGTCGTGGGGCTCTGTGCAGGACGGCGCCTTGTGTCCACACGTCCGGTCCTTCCTGTCCTCGGTGGATCAGTTTGTCAGTAATTTGAGCTCAGCCCGACTGAACATGGAGAGAAAGTTGCAGCTGCAGCACGTGGAGCTTCCTGACGCCATCAGCCAGCTGAGCAGCCCTGCAGACTACAGAGCAGCAGGTATGAAGCTCAAGCTGTTCACATCTCACACAAACAATAAGACTGTTGGAAATACAGGAAACATCGTTTAAAGGTTTAAAAATCAACTCTCAGGTAAATCAAACCAGTTTATCTGTGGAAGCTGAAGGAAGCATCTGACCTGAGACGATGGCTTCTTTGAAATAATGAGTCCGTGTTCACATGTGTTTAGAGAAACTCGTGTGTTTCGCTCTCAGCCAATAACAGTGAGCTGGTGGAGCGTCTGGAGGAGGTGTTGACCCTGTGGACCAATCAAATCAAGCAGGTGCTGACGGAGAGCGAGCAGATGAGGAAAGAGGCCGACGACATCAGGCCGTTGGCCGAGCTGGAGCACTGGAAGAGCCGCACGGTGACCTTAAACAGGTAGATGCGTCCTCTCAGCTGGATCTCCTGTAGCGTCAGCATTTACAGGTTTCACTTTAAACTCAGTTTATCAAACATGATCTGACGTCTGTGGACAGAAGCTCCTCAGACCTGGAACAGTTTAGTCTCCACTCTGAGACTTCAGGACAAAACCACTTTTACACAATATAACTTTCTGTTATTTCTCTTTCTGCTCTTTAAAGTTGAAATGTTCCAAAATATTCATGTGTTTGTTTGTATAATAGTTTTTAACCCTTTCATGCATGAATTATGACGACATCAATCAGGATTCTTTCTTTAGTATTTTTATTCATCTTTAGGGATGAAAAAAGATTTTTGAACTTCATTTTTTTAAACATGTATTTTTCCATCTTGGTTTGAAGAAATGTTTTGTGCACTTACACTGGCTGACCAGTAGGTGGCAGGTATGGAGCAACACATCAGAGTCCAATATAGAGTTTATGTGCAAGTACAACATCAACACTGACACGAATACAAGCAAACAGCCTTTGAACAGCTGTAACTGTGTGTGTGTGTGTGTGTGTGTGTGTGTGTGTGTGTGCGTGTGTGCGTGCGTGCGTGTGCTTCTGTGTGTGCGTGTCAGTCTGCTGGAGGAAGTGAAGGGCTCTCAGGTGAAGAGGACTCTGGGGGTCCTGCAGGTGGCTCAGTCTCGGTGCCTGCGTGCCTGGAGAGATCTGGTCAGCAGTTTATTTCCTGTTCAGTTCACAGCTGTTGTCTCGACGA